TGCTACGCCATTTTGGAATAATCTGAACCAATACAATAGAATACATTCAGCTTCCTCCTCTCCCACTCTGCCTATATGTGATGTATGTGATGGGTTAATGTAGCTGCTGACTGACTCCTTATTTCCTCCTGAAGCAGCTGGACTGTTGAGGTGACCACAGTGTCCGGGTCCCCACAGGCCACACCCTGTTGACAGTCCAGGGACTTCACACTGTGAGGCTCAGAGATGTCTGTTTTTCCTGAAGCCTTACAGGGTGTGGACTGTGGAGTCTGTCTTCTCCTTCTGCTGTCTGTAAAGCAGCAGGAGGAGAAAGAACCTGCTGGCTCTCTGAGTGTACAGTAGGCCAGGATGTGACCCTGTCTGGCCTACTGTAGTCTACCCTGACAGGCCATGTACTTTATATTTTTGTTCAGTATATATTAAAGGCAACATGTAAAGGGTTGGTCCCATGTTTCATGAGCTGAAATAAAATATCCCAGAAATGTTCCATACACAGTTTTGTTTACATGCCTGTTAGTGAGAATGTCTCCTTTGCTAAGATAATCCATCCATCTGACAGGTGTGGCATATCAAGAAGCTGATTTAACAGCATGATCATTACACAGGTGCACCTTGTGCTGGGGACAGTAAAAGGCCACTCTAAAATGTGCAGTTTTGTCATACAACACAGTGCCACAGATGTCTCAAGTTTTGAGGGAGCGTGCAATTGGCATGCTGACTGCAGGAATGTCCACCAGAGCTATTGCCAGATAATTTAATATTAATTTCTCTACCATAAGCTGCCCACAATGTAGTTTTAGAGAATTTGGCAGTACGTCCAACCAACCTCACAACCGCAGACCACGTGTAACCACGCCAGCCCAGGACCTCCACATCCGGCTTCTTCACCTGCGGGATGGTCTGAGACCAGCCACCCGAACAGCTGATGAAACTGTGGGTTTGCGCAACCAAATAACTTCTGAACAAACTCTCAGAAACCATCTCAGGGAAGCTCATCTGCGTGCTCGTCGTCCTCACCAGGGTATTGACCTGACTGCAGATCAGCGTCGTAACCGACTTCAGTGTGCAAATTCTCACCTTCGATGGCCACTGGCACGCTGGAGAAGTGTGCTCTTCACGGATGAATTCCGGTTTCAACTGTACCGGGAAGATGGCAGACAGTGTATGGCGTTGTGTGGGGTCGAACTGTTTGCTGATGTCAACGTTGTGAACAGAGTGCCCCATGGTGGCGGTGGGGTTATGGTATGGGCAGGCATAAGCTACGGACAATGGACACAATTGCATGTTATTGATGGCGATTTGAATGCACAGAGATACCGTGATGAGATCCTGAGGCCCATTGTCGTGCCATTCATCACCTCATGTTTCAGCATGATAATGCACGGCCCCATGTCGCCAGGATCTGCGCACAATTCCTGGAAGCTGAAAATGTCCCAGTTCTTCCATGGCCTGCATACTCACCAGACATGTCACCCATTGAGCATGTTTGGGATGCTTAGGATTGACGTGTATGAGAGCGTGTTCCAGTTCCCGCCAATATCCAGCAACTTCGCAAAGCCATTGAAGAGGAGTGGGACAACATTCCACAGGCCACAATCAACAGCCTGATCAACACTATGCAAAGGAGATGTCGCGCTGCATAATGCAAATGGTGGTCACACCAGATACTGACTGGTTTTCTGATCCACGCCCTACTTTTTTTTTTTTTAAGGTATCTGTGACCAACCGATGCATGTCTGTATTCCCAGTCTTGAAATCCATAGATTAGGGCCTAATGAATTTATTTAAATTGACTGATTTCCTTATATGAACTGTAACTAAGTAAAATCTTTGAAATTGTTGCATGTTGCGTTTATATTTTTGTTCAGTGTAGAACATAATGTAGAAATGTATCCTTATGGTTTCCACGGCCTAAGAAGAGCGCTGGATTTAAAGTTCATTTTCATGTCTTTCATTAGTGGCTTCATCATTCCTGATACACACCAACATAGAAAAGCTTAAATTTTCTCAGTGCAGCACTAGAGAGAGTCCACAAGCCATTTTAGGTTGTGTCATCCATCCTGTGTAGCTAGAAATGAAGCATTGGGTAAGCCAAATGGAATTAGTGACATGCCCTTCTGTTCCCCTCCCTCCCTCTGTTGATGTCTTATTGTGTGTCCTGGGCAACAGCACTTTGGAGTTGTAGTGCTTTAGTTTATTTAGGCCAGTGTGAGAGCCCTAATGTGGCTGTTTTGTTTTCATAGACACCAGGCATGTGGATAATCTGATTTATGCCATATAACCTAGCGTCCCGGGCTGGCCAGCCAGCTGTTAGACGTCATCACAGCAATGAGGGTGACAGGAAATCTGCCATAGTGCCCTTATTGGTCAATTGTAGGGGATAAAAACAGATTAATATGGTTTGTTAGAGCCATTTTATATGAAAGAAAATGTAAAGAAGATATTTTGGTTTATTTGTTATTGAATATAAACGTATAGAAATTGTGTAGAAATGCTTATTATTTTATAGAATTGTATGGAAACTGAGCTTTATGCTAATTATGTATATTGATATCCTTTTATGGTATACTGACACATGGTGGTCACGTGTGGTTTACCTATAGAATAGCATAAAGCAGTGTTTCCCAAACTCGATCCTAGGGACCCAAGGGGTGCACATTTAGTTTTTTGCCTTAACACTACACAGCTGATTCAAATTATAAAAATTTGATTAGTTTATTATTTGAATCAGCTGTGTAGTGCTAGGGCAAAAACCAAAACGTGCACCCCTTGGGATCCCGAGGACCGAGTTTGGGAAACCCTGGCATATTATGGTTAAGATGGCGTCATTAGTTGAACTCATTAGGACAGGTGATGGACCTGATAGAAGACTCATTGTAGAGTAACACTTTTCTACCTTTTTCTTTTGGATTACATTTTCCTGTTGTTACTTATCATGTAGTACTTTGGGATTTTACCTTTTTACCATTTATCACTTCGAACCTGTCAAACCTTGTCTGGATTACAATGCTTTCTTTTACCACTTACCAACCTGGAATCTGTGTTGCAATCAATGAACATTTGTGAGCAATAAATATCATTTAACTACATCAGCAACCTTTCAGCTCGTACAGTGAGGGAAAAAAGTATTTGATCCCCTGCTGATTTTGTATGTTTGCCCACTGACAAAGACATGATCAGTCTATAATTTTAATGGTAGGTTTATTTGAACAGTGAGAGACAGAATAACAACAAAAAAATCCAGAAAAACGCATGTCAAAAATGTTATAAATTGATTTGCATTTTAATGAGGGAAATAAGTATTTGACCCCTCTGCAAAACATGACTTAGTACTTGGTGGCAAAACCCTTGTTGGCAATCACAGAGGACAGACGTTTCTTGTAGTTTCCCACCAGGTTTGCACACATCTCAGGAGGGATTTTGTTCCACTCCTCTTTGCAGATCTTCTCCAAGTCATTAAGGTTTCAAGGCTGACGTTTGGCAACTCAAACCTTCAGCTCCCTCCACAGATTTTCTATGGGATTAAGGTCTGGAGACTGGCTAGGCCACTCCAGGACCTTAATGTGCTTCTTCTTGAGCCACTCCTTTGTTGCCTTGGCCGTGTGTTTTGGGTCATTGTCATGCTGGAATACCCATCCACGACCCATTTTCAATGCCCTGGCTGAGGGAAGGAGGTTCTCACCCAAGATTTGACAGTACATGGCCCCGTCCATCGTCCCTTTGATGCGGTGAAGTTGTCCTGTCCCCTTAGCAGAAAAACACCCCCAAAGCATCATGTTTCCACCACCATGTTTGACGGTGGGGATGGTGTTCTTGGTGTCATAGGCAGCATTCCTCCTCCTCCAAACACGGCGAGTTGAGTTGATGCCAAAGAGCTCGATTTTGGTCTCATCTGACCACAACACTTTCACCCAGTTCTCCTCTGAATCATTCAGATGTTCATTGGCAAACTTCAGACGGCCCTGTATATGTGCTTTCTTGAGCAGGGGGACCTTGCGGGTGCTGCAGGATTTCAGTCCTTCACGGCGTAGTGTGTTACCAATTGTTTTCTTGGTGACTATGGTCCCAGCTGCCTTGAGATCATTGACAAGATCCTCCCGTGTAGTTCTGGGCTGATTCCTCACCGTTCTCATGATCATTGCAACTCCACGAGGTGAGATTTTGCATGGAGCCCCAGGCCGAGGGAGATTGACAGTTCTTTGGTCTTGGCCATGGTGGAGAGTTTGGAATCTGATTGATTGATTGCTTCTGTGGACAGGTGTCTTTTATAAAGGTAACAAACTGATATTAGGAGCACTCCCTTTAAGAGTGTGCTCCTAATCTCAGCTCGTTACCTGTATAAAAGACACCTGGGAGCCAGAAATCTTTCTGATTGAGAGGGGGTCAAATACTTATTTCCCTCATTAAAATGCAAATCAATTTATAACATTTTTGACATGTGTTTTTCTGGATTTTGTTGTTGTTATTCTGTCTCTCACTGTTCAAATAATCCTACCATTAAAATGATAGACTGATCATTTCTTTGTCAATGGGCAAACGTACAAAATCAGCAGGGGATCAAATACTTTTTTCCCTCACTGTATATGGAAACGCGTATGGAACCAACCTGTATTTTGGTGTCTATAGAAGTGTCCTTTTAGAATCTAGGGACCACCACTAATGGATCAGCCATGATAATGTATGTATGCATTCAAGCAGGACAGCAGCAAGTACTGTATGACCAAATACTGTAGATGGAAGGTTATCAGTTTGTCTCAATGTTCTGCTCTGGAGAGATGAGTCATCATAAACTCAGCAGGCCAGTGATGTTGTTTGAAAAGTGTTTCCTCCCTTTAGTGAAGATTAGGATTACCATGTCCACTCTCATTCTCCTCCCAGGAGGATTATGTATTGTGTATCACATGACCTCGTTTATAACGCCAGGCCCCTCTACCTGCTTTGTCAATGGCTGATTCTTATCAAAGTTATTAAATTATGATGAAACATTTTAGTAGGACAAAATGCACAATGTTATCCCTAATAGTATCCACTGCGACTGTGTTACGCTTTTTTGGAATGTTTCAATGTAAAGCTTTACTTCAAACCCAGACATTATGGTGTTTGCAATAATTCTACCATGACTAAATCTTTCAGTTGCTGCTGTACTAACTCTGTTCCCTCTCTCTGTCCATGTATCTGCTTGCGTGTCTGTTAGTGGCCAGTGAGGCTCCAGTGTCCAGGCCCACTCCTCTGTATGGACAGCCGTCGTGGTGGGGGGAGGATGATGCTGAACACAGTGAAGGACAGCGGCCAGACGAGGACCCTACAGGTCTGGAACAAACACTACTCTACTATTACTATACTATCAATTCATATGTTTCTCTGGATATGTGAGAGTGAGCGTGTCACTATGAAAGAGGCCTGGCACTTCAATATTGTTATTAGCTGTGCTGACTCATAAAGGTTACACCCATTGTATTTGATTAGAGTGACAAATATAACACTTTGTTATGCATCACACCAAAGGTTTTCAATGCATCCATTGAGAGATGGATGGTGTTTAGCTCAGTAGTGCCTCAGTAGTGACCAGGAGCTGCCAGTGTCACACTAAGCCAGGTTGGTCCAGGGCCATGCCAGGCCAGCGGGCAGTGCCTCGTGATGGATTACCCCTGTAAGCCCAGGGTACAGGGTGGAGGAGGGAGGGTGACTGTTAGCCTCATGCTGCCCACTCTCCTTTGGACTCCAAGCTCCCACAGTTACATTTCTTCACGCCCAGCTGGCCTGGCACCCATTGATTGGCTAATGTATTTGTATGTTTGCTTAGTCAAGCCATCTTGTTATTTGTGGCTCCAGATTTATAGGGAATACTTGGCAGACTGAGTTTTTCCGTGATTTGTTTTCCTTGACTGTTGTAGTATGTCACAGTTGTTATTTCTCCCCAGTAATATTTCATTAGAGTAGTGTCTGTGATTCCTTCCCTTACCCACCTCATACTGCATGTCCTTTGTGCCTGCAGTTGACAATAGGGTTGGGAATTGCCAGGGACCTCACAATACGTTATTATCACGATACTTAGGTGCCATTATGATGTGTACTGCGTTTCTCATGATTCTCACAATTCTGTGTATTGTCGATTCGATATTGCGATTTGATGTTCCAAAAATATTGCTCACTATATGTCTGCTGCAGAGAGACGAGAGAGCATGAGAAAATGAGTTTTGATCAGTCGGGGAAATAAAAGTGCGAGTTTTGGCACCTACTAGCGCTAGCTAACGCTAATGATTTTTAAAAAATCTATACTTTGAGTCAAATATCGATATGATATCGTCCAAAATAATATTGCTATATGTAACTGTATCGATTCCCCCCCCCCCCCCCATCACTAGGTTACAGTATTGGTCTATATAGTATTGATCTATATTGTCCTGCTGTCTTCCCCCTGTGTCTGCCCCCACAGAGAATACTAAAGAGAGCTACAGACAGGAGGTCAACGGCTCCCTGTCAGACAGCCAGGCCAAGTCCATCTACTCATACCACAGGGAGCCCAGCTACTTTGAGATCCCCACCAAGGAGTTCCAGCAGCGGGAGCTCCGTGAGGTTCCCACTAAGGACACTGATCCCCCTGCTGTCCCTGTCCCTGTTCTCCCCCCAGCCCCCAACTCCACCCCCACACCCCCTGTGGTGCAGAGCCACGCCTCCTTCACCATCGAGTTTGACGAATGCACGCCGGGCAAAGTCAAGATCAAGGACCATGTGACCAAGTTCTCCTTCCGCCAGCAACGCAAGCTCCCGGGTAAGGAGGCGGTCACCACACCCACTGAGGTGATGTCAGCTGAGAGCAAGGTGGCTGATTGGCTGGTCCAAAGCGACGTGAGCATGATCCGGAGGTGGTCTCGGACAGAGGACATGTTCAGCACCAACAGTGACCTGCCCATCTACAACAAGGCTTCCACAGGTGAGTGACTCAATGATTTATACACTGAATCCAATGTTACTATCCACTGTTACTGTCAGAGCTTTCAAGCTAACATGTTTCTGTATTTATCATCAGGCCATCACCATGAGGATGGGACTCGGGGCAACTCTGAGGATCCTGTTGTGAACGGGAAGCAGGTTATCCAGTCAAAGCCACCGATGGGGCCTCACACGTCTCTACCAACCCAGCTGTCCCCCCCTCGACCCTTCACCCCCCCTGACTCAGAGGAGCTTCTGTCCAGCTCCCCTCCAGAGTCTCACTCCCCTCCTCAGAGCCAGGGCAAAGCAGACCCCAAGAAAGTCTTCGTCATCGAGTTCTTTGATGACAATCCACGCAAGAAGCGTTCACAGACCTTCACCAACAACACAGTCCAGCCCGACAGCCCGGCACTCAGGAACAAGCTGGAGAGGAAGTTGGGCCCCAGCACCCCCACCCAGCAGTATACCATCCCCCTGAAGGGCCCGGGCTCTGGAGGCCCCCAGAGGGCCGGCTCCCTGAGGCGGGAGAAGACGGAAGATCGGATCAATACTAGCTTCTCCTCCCCCTCCTCCTCCATACAGCCCAGGCCCTTTAGAAGTGTGGGCCGCAGGTCCAAACTTTCCCAGGACTTCACTGCTGAGTTCCTGAGGGAGTCCAGACAGGAGACTAGACCAAGCATGAACACAACCTGGGAGAGGAAGACTTCACCTGTGTCTCCTACCACCAGCCCACCACCAACAGAAATGGCAGCAGTGCCCCACTCCCACCAGACCCCACCAAGTCCCCCTCAGCCCCCTGTCCCATACCTGACTCAGACCTCCACCGTCAACCAGCCTGTGCCCCTGAAAGCCCCTCTAATGTCCCTGGCCAACCACACCATGGAGGCCGCACGGAGCCTGGAGGCCGCACGGAGCCTGGAGGCCGCACGGAGCCTGGAGGCCGCACGGAGCCTGGAGGCCGCACAGAGCCTGGAGGCCACATTTACCATGGAGGTCGGAAGCCCCAGAAGCTTGGGGAACGAGGAGGATGATGCCTTGAGTGAAGCAGGCACCTACACCATTGAGACAGAGGTCCAGGATGAAGAGCTGGTGGAGGCACGCAGCAAGATAAACCAGGCAAGTCTCTTTGCCTTACTCTCTGTAGTAGTCTTATCTCTCCAAGTTTGTTTTAATATCACACCTTGTCATGCTATAAGCTTCAGCCTGAGATAACCTGCCTTGTCAAGTATCCAACAGCCATGCTATCTAACAAAAGCCCCCATGAGCCTCCAGCCCTGTAGCGACAGCATTCACACTCACACATCATGCTTTGTTTCTGACAGGTGTTTGGTGTTGTTGAGGGGCCAGAGCAGCCCAGCCACATTGAAGCAGCAGCATATAAGCCTGTTAAGGCTCAGGACAGGGAGGAGCATAGGGAGAGTAGCTCTGTGGATATAAGTCCAGCTCCAGGGCAAGGACAGAATCTGCTGCAGGTAAACCCCCAGCTGGCCTCAGTGTGGTGACAGATTCCCAGAGTTAACGCAATTTAAAAAAACAATCAATCAGTCAATTAATTAATCAGTCAATCAATTAATCTGCTGGGTCAATAAGCTATTCGAGTTGGGAAGCACAAATCTGCATGTTTTGGTCTCTTGATTCTCAATGGTTTCTCCTCATCTCCCTCGCAGATATCGTGTAGTCTCTATTGGTTTCTGGGGGTGTTGTTGTTGTAGTTCTTTACTTCCTGCTGGGTTTGGGTGTGACCAACTGGTTTTCTCTGGTGGTGTCCTTGGTTTCTATCTGAGGAATAGGAATGGGTTTGTGGCGGTTGGAATGTTTTTGTTGTCATAAAGTGTCATTTTCAGATATAAAAAATATCCCAACATCCCAAGCTGTAAAAGTGTCTATTCGCCTAATAGATTTTTCAATCATAGAATATAATTTCTTGAACGGGATTGTGTTATTTTTCCTCCTATTGTAAGCGTTATTGTGTTTACTGACTGCTGTTGAGACGTGAATAACTAGAGTGATCCTTCGTGCAGTTGTCTGGTGGCTCTAAGTGGGTGTCTCGCTGGGCCAGCCTGGCAGACAGCTACACAGACTCTGGCCCCACCTCAGGCCTTTTCGACATCCCCTCACAGATTGAGCAGTCAGGAGGAGGTAAGACATGGGAATTTGCACAGAATTTGAAGTTATAGTCCTGATTATCAACTTCATAAAAAATGCATCCTTCTGTTTCCATTCAGTTGGTGGGAGGACCGGCTATCAGGCGATGCTCAGTCGGAATGTCAAAAGTGTGGAATCGAAAGGCCAGAGTTCCAGAACACGGCGGATTCTGCCTCAGGCACCATTGATGGAGAAGAATGAGACTCCAACTCCCAGCATTCTAATCCATCAGGACACTTACTCTACCTATGATATCAGAGAGAAGAGCTCCAGAACCCCCTGCCCACAGGAGGGCCACAACCTGTATGTACAGGACGACCTGGACCCAGACAGCCTGAGTGATGCCAGTAAGTCAGACGACGGCTCCATTGTGGAGCAGAGGACGACGCCCACACCAGAGACAACAGACAAGAGTTTATCTCAGAACAGAGAAGAGGAGAGGCCCAGACTCCCAGCCAAGTCTACATCATTCTACATTGACTCTGAGGAGCGGGGATCCAGACCCAATACGCCCAAGACTGAGAGAAAACAACCACCTCCTCCCAATACACCACAGTTCTCTACAGCCACCCTGACCAAACAACGGGGTGGACAGGACTCACAGAAGACTGTGAAGCCCAACTCATCAGCTTCCAACCTGGACTACCAGGGCAGAGTCAGCCCTCAGCCCAAGGAGATCTCAGTGTCTCTGGTCAGGCAGGAGAGCTTCACTAAGGACCAGCCAAGTGATGCTACACAGGTCACCAAACTCCCCCACATCTCCAGCCAGCCTGCTCTGAATGACCCAGACCCTGCTGAGGTGTTCCAGGGTATCTGCAGCCAGGACACCCACTCCTACCTCAAGGAGACTGAGGACGCTCTGGCTGCCCTGGAGGCCAAGCTCCAGGCCCAGACTGACGTAGCTCCCCGCCCCATAGATGACGCTCTGTCTGGTGAGTCTGACATGGACTCAGCCAGCACCGCCAGCCAGCACAGCAACCAAACTGCCCCCAAGACCGGATCCAAGAAGCCCTCTATCACCTGTGGCCTTCAGAGGGAGAGGTCCTCTGCCAGCTCCTTCACCCAGGAGTCCATCCGCCAGCCATCAGCCCATGGTCGCCTGTCAGAGAAGCGGTGGTCTCAGGGAGCGGACAGCAGCAGTAAGCCTGAACCAGGCAGGAGGCTGGGGATGAGACGCAGTGTGGGAAAACATGGCTCCATGGACCTTAGTGATGACCCCCAGAGCTCCAGCTTACCCTACTGGCCTGACACCATCTCCTCAGACCAGGAGGGCTCCCGGCCCACTGCACGCAAGAAGTACACCGCCCCCCTGCAAAAGGAGGATTCTTCTAAGTCCTCCAAAGTGGCCCAGGCCCTGAGCCGCTCCAACAGCATGTATGCCCCAAGGCCTACTAGAGCCTCCATGCTTCGCCGGGCTCGCCTGGGCGAGGCGTCCGACAACGAAGGCACAGAGACGGACAGGATCTCCCAGGAGGCCAGCAGGACCACCAAGGCCTCCCAGGACAGTAAGAAGCAGCTCTCCAGGCTGGACATGCTGGCTCTGCCCCGGAAGAGGACCAGCTCCTTCACCACTCCCAGTGATACAGAGTCCTCCGCACCCAGGACAGGCTTCTCCAACCGCAGCACAGAGTCCAACAGCGGCTCTGGCCGTAAGGCCTCCGTCGCCGGGCCCAGCTCTAAGCCTGCGCTAGGCAGGGCCTCTGGAGCTCCCGGCAAGCCCATCACCCGCTCCAGCAGTGCCAAATACACCAGCAGCACAGCCAGTGAGTTACAAACACAGTCTCCTCTTTGTAATGTTATATCATATTTTGCAGTCTCTTGACAAAGAGATCATTACAGGTGGAAAAATATGTCTTAATAAGTGTTTAAATATGTCCCAGCCAATCTTGAAATGCTACAGAAATGTAATGAAACATAAAAATGACAACTTCTGGATTGGAAGCATCACATTTTAGGTCTGCATAAAGGAGACCAGTCCTATTAATGATCTGGATGAATTGGTTTAAGTGAGTTTGAAACAATTAGTCCAACTAACAAGTTACAAGGGGGCAAGCCGAGGTTGTATTCTTCTGGAGATTGGTTTCATAAGCCATGGTTTAAAGGTCCCTGACCTTTGGCTTTGTAATAAGGACCTTCACTAACAACACTTATGCTGTATTGCTATATAACCCCTTCAATAATTTCCTCTAGGGGCAATTTCACGGTAACAGAATGATCATGAGATGCCGATTCTTCACTTTAAAATGAATGCATAACAAAAACCAATGATTGCAAAGTTAAACAAACCATACAACTCTATGCACAAGGATGACTTTTAACAATTTCCACTGAAAGTTTTACAAAAACAGATTTAGTTGAAGAACAGTGCAGATGCAAAGTTTGGTAACAGGGGGCCTCCCAAGTGGCACAGCGGTCTAAGGCACTGCATTGCAGTGCTTGAGGTGTCAATACAGACCCGGGTTCGAGCCCAGGCTGTGTCACAGCCAGCCGTGACCGGGAGACCAATGAGTCAGCGCACAATTTGACATAGCTTTTAAAGTGTCAGCATCACTCTACCGTGGAATGTCCTCTAGAATACCTGTGGTGAAAGGTGATACCATCTGCACAATGTTCTCATAATCATTATTTAATGTTCAATCATGATAACATGACTGTCTAGAAAATATTGTGAGAATAAGGTGGGTCAAATGTCGAATAACGTACGTACACTATCCTTTTGAGCGATAATAATTACATTTTTCTTTACTTTGTGACTTCTTCTATGGTCTTCAACAACATTACTATTTTTTACAGTAGCCGTTACTATTGTTGGGTTGAGTGCTCATTTCAGGTTGTGAATATTTTTGAATAAAATAAAATCCTAATGAATAACATATACAGAAAGATTTTGGTTGTGATCTTGCATCAGTACATTTACCATCTGAATGAGCACTTCTACAAAACCCTTCTGTATGGGTCTCTGGGGTATATTTGGGTATTATGGGATATGTGGGGTTTGTAGTTTTTTTGCGGTGTCCTTTTCATGGTGTCTCTCTGTTTTTACCTGCCTTCCTTCTCCTAATCTCAACACCGTTCAAACCAATTCATGGCTCCAAGGCTCCAGACGACGACAGAAAGGCTCTGACTACACCTCCACCTCGGAGGAGGAGTATGACTCTGGTAACCAGAGTACCCCTAAACACAAACGCTCCCAGACCCCCTCAGCCTCCCGCTCCCAGCCCCTCATCCCCCCGCGCCCCAAACCTCACTTAAGAGACTCGGACCAGGAGAGTCACGAGGGAGACGCCTACCAGAACTGGTCCTCCCACAGTGCTGAGATAGCAAAGTGAGTTGAGATAGCAGGTGGACAGCCAGGGCCGGCTCCAGTCATAAGCGGTCGCTTAGGGCCCCAGACCTTTTGTGTTTATTTTTAGGATCTCAGTCGACATCTCAACTTACTTTTGAGAGTTAGAATAGTACAATGCACAAGGTGCAAGTTCGAAATTTGGTTGTGCATCAGCATTTTTTCTCTTGTTATGTCAGTCATTAGCAGTCACTCAATGATGACTAGCAATTATTTGATTGGTAAGTTAGTCTAGCAAGCTAGCTATACCTTTAGTAATCATGGCCAAATACCGACCAGGCACGCAGGGCACGTGCCCAGGGACCCTGACCTCCAGGGGGCCCCCATGGATTTTGTTAGTCACTCTCACTCAGATATAATTAACATGGCATAAGTCATGGCAAAATGTATAGAATTGCAGGAAATAGGCTGTAAGAATGCGCAAAAAAATCTCTGCCCCATGGCAAAATGTGTAAAACTTGCTTCAGAACTGCAAAACTTCAATTTTTCGCTCTTGGAGGAGTGCCTGAGGTGTCCCTATGTTGGTCTGTTCTCCCCTTCTAGACTGAGTCAGGACCTGGCTAAAGATCTGGCCATCTTGGCCAGGGAGATCCATGACGTGGCTGGTGATGCTGATCCTCAGAGCTCTTCTGGAGTGGCCAACACACCTGCTTCTACCATGACCGCCCGGGACGAGGTATGTGAACCACACTGCCTAGTCACACACTTATGGGCCTAATGAAGAGCTTTTCAATTTAAATATTTTCTTTAGCACCCAATACAGTATATCCTTTCCTGTCTTCACTGATTCATGTTATAATGGCTGGAGAAGACATACACAACCTATAAACCAAGAGTTTTCATTCACTCCATGCTATCAGACAGCACAGTCATCTCCTCAGGCTGCCCAGCCTTCTCAGGTGCAGATTTATCAGTTCACTCTCACAACAACATTTAAATTGGTTGCTCTCACATCTGTGACCAATGCAAAACATTCCACTGTCATTAATGGGGTTATATCCATGGATTCATCTTGATCGCTGTTTCTTACCATATCTGCTACCTTATGATTGGCACATAATAATAACCACCCTTAACTGTTGAGAGTGTCTGGCTCTTGTTGTATTGCAGTTGGTCCATCCTATTCCTAAAGCTGGTGTGAACTACCAGAGAGCTCCCCCTGGTTCACCTGCTACCGGGGACCCCGACCAGACAATGATGAATGACCAGGAACACAACTCTGAGCACAGAGGATGGAACCAGGAAGAGGTTAGACAATAACATTGTTCATGCCGCTTCAATCCATTTTGAGAATTACAATTTTTACAAATAGATTCTCTTGATAAGTTGCTCTTTAGCCCAACTGTGTTCAGCCTTGTCTTTGTGAAGTGGAGAGCTGACTGAATGTATTTGTCTATGATCTCTCTCTCCAGGTTGTTGTTGATGATCTTATGTTGACTCCAGTGTCCCAGATCTCTCTGGCTATTCGAGAAAACACGGAGCAACTAGCTGAGAAAATAAAGTAAGAATGTATACCTAGACAAGAAGCATGTGCAAAAGTTCACAATACTTTTTCAGGCCATTCTCCCCACAGCTCATACCAGAACCAGATGAGAAGTTGTATTAATCCTCTCTGATATGCAGTTATCTCGTTAGCTCTGAGTGAGTGAGTGAGCACAGCCTGCCAGCATGGCTAATGGACTGAGAGTGAGTGGAATGTGCTGTGTTGGGCAGATAGTCTATCCTTAGGGAGATATGGGACCTCAGATATTCAGTATAGTAATTCCTCATTTTATACGTGGTTGCTCTGTCTGTACTCTAGAGTTCGTTTTTTGTGCTTGCAGGGTACTATTCCACAACAAACAGGAAGTTTGGGAGGAAATTGAAGCAAAGATCAATGCTGAAAACGACATCCCTGTCCTGAAAGGCTCAAACAAGGTTGGTATTTCTCCAGACTTATCTGACCAGGTTTGTAGTTATTTCCGATGATTTGCTGTATTGTTTATTTCCCTCGGCAGTGTAACATGCCTATCTGTATTTCAGGAAATCACATCTATTCTCAAAGAGCTCAGAAGAGTTCAGAGACAACTTGAAGGTAAGTGCACCTCACAAATATTGAGTAAAACCTCCATGTAAACAAGCATCACTTAAAAGCTTTTTTTTTTTTTTTGTCATTTGCTTTTCTCCCTCAGCATTTCAGATGTGTTGATTATGCCAAATTGTTCTGTCCCCTTCCCAGTCATCAACACAATCATTGAACCCAGTGGGAACCTTGAGCCAGCCAAAACCTCCACTACTAGTGCCCCCTCCTCAGCCGGGGTAAGGCCATCCAGGGCCCCTTCGAGAGACTGGAGATCCTTAGAATCCCAGCGGGGTGGTGGTGGGGACTCCTCTTCCAGCTCCAGGCCCAGTGAGAATGTCAGGAGATCAGCCATGGCCTCTGAGGCAGAGAGCTATGTGGTCTGAGGTTCTGGAACACAGTGCCTCTTCACTGCTGCGCCACAATCCCAGGTGTTGAGAGAGTGGATTTGAGAGGGGGAAATGGGCACTGCTAGAGAACTGTGGCCCCACCGCACGAAGACACTACTGCACTGTGTGTGCATTACTAGAGAACTGAAATGCGTATTGAACTGCCATGGTGTGAGAAGGGGATTGTACAAGACACACTAAAGCCATGCATTGGTTAGTTCAGCTGAGGGAAAACCCCTTTAAGACAAGGCCATTATTGTGCCATATACCTCAGTTGATCTCACTTTCACAAAAGAATACTTGATTACTTGCATTTTATTGACCTGTTTCTGTGATTTAATTAATTGGGAAAATGTTGCTGCAATGAACTTAGAGCACAGTATATTTAAAATCAGCTTGAGTATGTTTTATTTAAGGAAGTATCTCTTACTAATGTAATTAAATACGATGAAAATCAAAGTATATTTTGACATTGATTGATGAAATGTATGAATAAGTAGAGAAAATATATATTTGTAAAGGAGTTCTCCAGGATCCCTTGATAAACCAGTGACTGGGTTTATCCAAGACTTCCCCACTGTATTTTCTCTCATTCTATTGACCACTTTTTCTCTCTATGGACCAGACTTGAAGAATGTATATCAAGTATTTAATTGTAATGATTTATATAGTATTAAAGAGTTTATAAGTTGGCACTTGGACACTTGCTTTTGAGCTAAGAAAATAATGTTATTTGTCTGGTCTCTTAAAAGAGACCGAGGTGAAATGTAAGAATGGCTCTAGGAGTCACTTTCACAAGGTATCTCACGTTGCCAGTAGTAACATGATCAGATGTGTTTTGTGCCTTTTTATTCTTTAGTCAAAGGTAGGAATTAGGCCTGCCTTCTCATGTCTGACACTAGATATTTCCTTGTTCTCAGAACTGAACTTCTGTGTGAAAAGTACTGTATGTGTGGAAAGTACTGTATGATTGGGTGGGCAGGGCAGGGCGGCTAAGTGCTGCGGTAGAACATCTAGGTTGAATCACCTGGCAACAGCCAACTGTCTGGAGTGAGTAGCTGCATAGCTCAGCCCAGAGATTTTAAGCTTTAAAACAGAATAAAACACAGGACTCATTCAGGAGTTATACCAGCTGGCGCCATTTGGAATGTGTTTGTTAGTATTGCAGATAGGTTTAATTGTCAACCTGTCAGTTGATTGCACAGCTGTCAATACTGTGGTCAGCAATTTCGCAGTGCTATCTTTCTGTTCCCTTCTTGATTCCCCTTTCTCGGTTTAAATCGTGATCCGTGGCTTCAATTTTGCTAAAGTATGTGTATGTCCTTTCAAACGATATAAACTAGTGACCCGCAGTGTTTGTCATCACCCTGATGAAGACCACTTGGCTGTCCAACCGTTGGTTATAAAATGATTGCATCGGAGCTCCTAGAGTGTGTTGCTCTCCTTTTCTTTTTATAGTAAAAGTTAACACTTTACTGACTCAAATGCCCTCTGATAGTTTCAGCTTCGCTTTCTGGAGATATTTCCTCCTGTTTTATTGCTGTACACTCCTTCGTTCCATCAATAAGCACGCCACACTACATTAACTCCTGTGCTGTTGATGCCAGTTTATTAGGCCTATTAAGTGCAGTGTCAAAAGCAAGATGCACATGCTGTTTGTTTTGTTATGATTTAATCATAGTTGTGAGTGACAATGAGCAGAAATGGTGTGCAATTATAAATGAAAAAACATTTATTGTTATATATGTACACATCTAAGAGTTTTCTCTAGAGATGACCTCCATCTAGTATTTTGCACTATTGTAGTACCATCAGGACCCTTCAACCTTATATGCTGAGAAGCTACACTTTAACCCCCCTTTTTAGTAATGGGGTTGCGTTCATTCTTTTAAAGATTGTATAAATTCTATCCAGTCCAGAATGAGAGGAGGCTGAAAATGCTATGAAATGAAGGGACTGCAGTCCACCACAAGTGCTTTCCTCTTTTCTAACCAGTTTGTGTAGCTGTACATGAAGTAGTAACCGCAATTTCCCTCAGTGCCACAAAGCCTTTTGGGATATATGGTTTCATACCACAAAGTACAGTACTTGTTTACACCCGTGAGCTCAGTTAAATCTGTCTCTTTGAGCTTTTGATTGCTATGGCTCGAATTGCTTCTAGCTATTCTGCTTTGTGCTATCCCTTGTAGTTCTTAATCAAAAGCTCCAGTCAAATGAGAAATATCTTGGTGTAAGTCATGAGTCCCATTTTGTTAACCCTGTTCATATCAATTCAAAGTCATCATCATGGTTTGGTTGTTTGGCTCTTGCACCCTAAACAGAAAAGTTCCACTTCCTTCAGCATTTTATATTGATGTTTTCCAGAATTAATCTATTGGAAAAGTTCAATCATTTTGTGCATAATTTAGAAAATGGGATTCAATTTTTTGTAATAAACTGATTTGTAATCAATTATGTTGTGTACTGTCATTATTTTTTATTCCAAAGCCACTTGTTTGATATAGGCCTAATATTGTAGAACTCAACACATTTACATGTTTTACGAGTAATTGTATTTATATGTCCTGATCTGTCAGAGAAATGAAAGAAGAAACAGGAACCATGTCTATTACTGTGTACAGTTAATGTCATACTTCTTAGTTTCATATCAGTTTCTGTGGACTGTGGAGGAAGAACAAATCCCTTCTAGTAAACACCTGCTTTACTCTGTGTAAGTAGTTTTTGCATGTTAAATGCTGTTTAAATGTATGTTTAAAATGATATTTATGATCAATAACATTTTAGGTCTAGATTTCAACAGGATGTTAGGAACATCAGTGCCAGAGATGTCCTCTCCTTACAAGACTTTACATGATAGCTATGTTCCCAACCGAAGTGTAAGAATTGCTTGTCAAGCATTTTGTCAAACTTTTCAGTAGAAGCTCATCTGAAGTATGTTCTAACTTCTGTTTACATTTATATTGAAATATATTTATTCTGTCCTCATTTTTCATAAACATCACACTTGGTTGTGTCTGTGTTCTCAGAGCTCAAAACAGCTTGTGTCTATAGCTGTGGTAGTGGGATGTTTGACTGCTTTGGGTGCACTGCTCTCCTTTTCTATATTGGACAAGTGCACAGAAGAAGAGCATTTCCAAAATGACAAGCTCTTCCAAGAAACAAGAACTGATCAAAATAACATTTCTGATGAGCAAAGCCGGTGAGCTTCATGTACCCATATACGTTTAGCTTTAACACAATTGACAATGTAAAACAGTCAAAGTTTTGTCAAGGGAAGTGGTGCTTCGTTTCCAGTTTGTAATCATCCCCAAAGACTAGTAATTAAGAGGTCCTGTTGTGAATTCCTCAGAATTATCCTTGTGGAGAGCATTCCCCTGTATATGAAATATGACGACAATGCAACCTTTGGGACCCCAGTGGACAAGGCCTGGAGAGATCTCCTGTCCATGGCAACCAACCAAGTCGATGTGGCTTCCTTCTACTGGACTCTTACCGGTGATGACATCAATATGAACTCTTCCACTGACTTACCTGTGAGTTCTAAAAAAGCCATTGTAGGAAAATTAATCCCTGTGAATTTGCCTGCACTTTATCTACTGTCATCATCAACAGGGAAAGGACATGCTGGAGCAGCTTGGAGCTTTGCCTTCCAGAAACGTATCAGTGAGGGTTGTGACGAGTATTCCCTCTATGCTGACAAACTCCACAGATCTACAGGTTCTGAGACAGAAAGGTCTGAAAACACCCCTTAAATCAGTGTTTCCCAACCCTGGTCCTCCAGTAGCCCCTACAGTACACATTTTTATTGTAACGCTGGACAAGCACACCTGATTCAACTTGTCAACTAATTATCAAGCCCTCAATGAGTTGAATGAGGTGTGTTTGTCCAGAGCTACAATGACAATGTGTACTGTTGGGGGTACCAGAGGACCAGGGTTGGGTAACACTACCTTGAATGACAATCAGGTTACTTTGTATATTATCCTACTGTATTTTAATCTTTAAATGTAATTTAATTGGTTTTCTGTAGGAGTCCAAGTAAGAAAGGTGCACTTTGGGCGTTTGACTGGGGGTGTACTCCACAGCAAGTTCTGGATTGTTGATCGTAGACACATATTCCTAGGAAGTGCCAACATGGATTGGAGGGCTCTTACACAGGTAAAGGTCTAGTGATGATATAATACACTTACCATTGAATAATCTCACTCGCTTTGCTCCTACATGAGTCATGACAGGTAACAATGCACGATCATCTTAGGTTAAGGAACTGGGAGTGGTGATCTACAACTGCTCCAGTCTGGCTGAAGACCTCCATAAGATCTTTGAGTCCTACTGGGTGATGGGTCATCACAACAGCTCCATCCCAGACCCTTGGCCCTCCAAATATGACACTGCCATCAACAAAGAGCATCCCTTGCTGCTGAAGACTGATAATGTTTCAAGCAAAATCTACATTACAGTAAGTCCCTTCTGTTTCACTTCCCCATTCTGTGCTTTCAGAGGGCCTGGACCATAAAACCAGTCGCATCTGAATAAACCCTGAGAGAATTAAAGAGCGTGTCCATTGTCCAACACATAACAGGTTGAATGGAGATTTCTTTCTCATCTAATGACCATCTCATCACAGTTCTACTCATCACAGCCCTCTCTTTCTTCCCATGCCATGTCTGTCCTCTGTCTCTCCCAGGGTTCTCCTCCCTCTTTCTGCCCGACCTCTCGGACTCAGGATCTGAATGCCATCCTCTCAGTGATCTCAGGGGCGCAGCACTTCATTGATGTGGCAGTCATGGAGTATTTTCCCACAACACGCTTCATACACCCTCAAAGGTGAACCTACTGTCCTACCAGGCTCATAGCCTTTTTCAATACGCCCTTGAGTTTTACTTACAACTCTACCTTCTTGTTTTGTTAGATTCATTTAATCTACCTCTAATATATCCTTTAGGTACTGGCCGGCCATTGATGATGCATTAAAGAGGGCTGCTTTTGAGCGGAATGTTAAGGTCCGTCTGCTGGTCAGCTGTGGACGTGATTCTGATCCAGCCATGCTGCCTTTCCTTCAGTCTCTAGCCTCCCTGAATTACCCTGCCCAGAACATCAGCATTCAAGTGGTAGGAAGACACATATAGCCTACTGGTATTATTATTCAACCATGTGGTTGTCTTCCTTTCTGTACTGTAATGCCAGATGGTCCCCTTTTTCAGAAACTGTCCATTGTGCCAGTAGGGAACCAGTCGGAGATTCCCCACTCCAGAGTAAACCATAATAAATACATGGTGACTGATAAAGTAGCATATATTGGTAAGTGTTAGACAGCTGTATCAACATGGCCTACAGTAGACTTTTCAGAAAATAGTTTAATATGATGCTACTTTATTGTGAACAGACACAGTTGTATATATGAAGGCATTATAGGTAATGAACAACCTGAATTCCCAATCCTTCTGCCCCTCAGGGACGTCTAACTGGTCAGCTGACTACTTCAACACCACAGCTGGAGTGGGGCTGGTGGTTTCCCAACACACACCAAACTGGCCCTGGGGGACCCAGGCTCTGCAGGGGCAGCTCAGAGCAGTGTTTGACAGGGACTGGCACTCTCAGTTTACTGTATGTTTTGCTGACTTGGGCCATCACCTTGACTGTGCACTCTCAAAAGGATAGGCGCTCTGACTACCATCCATACACTTAGCTATAACAATGTTTACTTTAGACAAGTATGGCTTAGGGAAATAACAGTAAGCCTGTTGGACTGCTTTTTCTAGCCTTGGGTTGTTTCTATAAGGGACGTTGCAACTGAACACACCATTTGCATCATCATTTGTTTGTTAGCTACTTGTTACCTTTTCTTCCTATTGAACATTTACTTTAGGAATGTTTCATTTCACTGTATTACCTTTCGCAAGCCGACAAATGCCGTTTCGTGATGTACTTGATTGCTCATTATTTTTGCTACAAAATGATTTATTATACAAGTTAATTAATTTGAAATAAAGGCAGCAAAAGGCTGAGCTCTGTCTAGTTTATTCAATTGTTTGTGTTTTATTTTCTCTACAGTAGATGGCAGTAATGTAAATTGTTCAGCGTGTACTTTGTAGCTAAGTTGAAAGGTCACGGGGCGGAGTTTCATGTTGTAGTACGTGTGCTTCTGACGGGCTAGCCAGCTAGCTGAAGTTACAGAATTGCAGTGGAAATCATGGTACTACTTGAAAACGACTCGGTAAGATAGAAAACCCTATCGACTAATTTACTACATCTTAGCTAGATACTGTCATTATTAGAAGACTAGTTTAATTTGATAGCTATTGTGCATTGGCAAGGTGGAAAATAAATCAAGTCTGCCTGCTAGCTAGCTAACGTTAGCTTGCCCTACCGCCCATAGCTAGCATTTGCTAACTATTAGTTTGGATGCTTCTGTGGTCAGCTTTATAGAATAATAAATACTGTCCAGCGACATGTGGACACATTTCTAGTTAGAAGTAGCTAGCAAGATAGTTAGGTCGTGTATATAAATATGAACTACACACACACGGTATGATATATCCTCGATCTAGGTAGCTAACGTTAGCTCATTAGCCATTTGGTTAGTATTAACGTAACGTTACTAGCTACCGCAACAGTTGATATCACTGTTAACGTTAACAAACCCACATTACATCCGATTATTTTCCTATAGTTTTTGACGGAGCTGACACGGCTGTTCCAGAAATGCAGGACCTCAGGCAGTGTTGCCATCACGTTAAAGAAATGTAAGTTCTCACATCTTGTCATCTGTGACTTATTGGATGGCGGAGTCTCTCCTTCAGTTCTTCCAGGATATGTTAATATTAGGCCTATCTCCTCTTTTGCGATCAACCTAAGAGGTTTACATTTACAGTGAGTAATTCTTTTTAAAATAGATTTTGTTTGATTTTTTTTTTTTTTTTTTTTACAACAAACATACATAGACAAAAACAATAAACTACTTAAGCAGCAATATGTAACTTTTTGGGCGAACCAACCAAATTCACATAGAAATGTGAGATATAGATCTGTCATTCTAATTGAAAGCAAATCTCTAAGAAGCGGTAGATCTGTTATACAGTGGGGAGAACAAGTATTTGATACACTGCCGATTTTGCAGATTTTCCTACTTACAAAGCATGTAGAGGTCTGTAATTGTTATCATAGGTACACTTCAACTGTTAGAGACGGAATCTAAAACAAAAATCCAGAAAATCACATTGTATGATTTTTAAGTAATTCATTTGCGTTTTATTGCATGACATAAGTATTTGATCACCTACCAACCAGTAAGAATTCCGGCTCTCACAGACCTGTTCGTTTTTCTTTTAGAAGCCCTCCTGTTCTCCACTCATTACCTGTATTAACTGCACCTGTTTGAACTCGTTACCTGTGTAAAAGACACCTGTCCACACACTCAATCAAACAGACTCCAACCTCTCCACAATGGCCAAGACCAGAGAGCTGTGTAAGGACATCAGGGATAACGTTGTAGACCTGTACAAGGCTGGGATGGGCTACAAGACAATAGGCAAGCAGCTTGGTGAGAAGGCAACAACTGTTGGCGCAATTATTAGAAAATGGATGACGGTCAATCACCCTCGGTCTGGGGCTCCATGCAAGATGTCACCTCGTGGGGCATCAATGATCATGAGGAAGGTGAGGGATCAGACCAGAACTACACGGCAGGACCTGGTCAATGACCTGAAGAGAGCTGGGACCACAGTCTCAAAGAAAACCATTAGTAACACACTACGCCGTCATGGATTAAAATCCTGCAGCGCTTGCAAGGTCCCCCTGCTCAAGCCAGCGCATGTCCAGGCCCGTCTGAAGTTTGCCAATGACCATCTGGATGATCCAGAGGAGGAATGGGAGAAGGTCATGTGGTCTGATGAGACAAAAATATATAGCTTTTTGGTCTAAACTCCACTCGCCGTGTTTGGAGGAAGAAGAAGGATGAGTACAACCCCAAGAACACCATCCCAACCGTGAAGCATGGAGGTGGAAACATCATTCTTTGGGGCTTTTCTGCAAAGGGGACAGGACGACTGCACCGTATTGAGGGGAGGATGGATGGGGCCATGTATCGCGAGATCTTGGCCAACAACCTCCTTCCCTCAGTAAGAGCATTGAAGATGGGTCGTGGCTGGGTCTTCCAGCATGACAACGACCCAAAACACACAGCCAGGGCAACTAAGGAGTGGCTCCGTAAGAAGCATCTCAAGGTCCTGGAGTGGCCTAGCCAGTCTCCAGACCTGAACCCAATAGAAAATCTTTGGAGGGAGCTGAAAGTCCGTATTGCCCAGCGACAGCCCCGAAACCTGAAGGATCTGGAGAAGATCTGTATGGAGGAGTGGGCCAAAATCCCTGCTGCAGTGTGTGCAAACCTGGTCAAGACCTACAGGAAATGTATGATATCTGTAATTGCAAACAAAGGTTTCTGTACCAAATATTAAGTTCTGCTTTTCTGATGTATCAAATACTTATGCCATGCAATAAAATGCTAATTAATTACTTAAAAATCATACAATGTGATTTTCTGGATTTTTGTTTTAGACCTCTACATGCTTTGTAAGTAGGAAAACCTGCAAAATCAGCAGTGTATCAAATACTTGTTCTCCCCACTGTATGTGTGCTATTTCTATGCTTCCTGTTATTAAGTTACATTTTTGCCTCTTACTTTTGGTTTTGTACACCAGCTTAAAATATCAGAAAATACAATATTTTTGGTTATGGAAAATATATTTCAGAGCGGTTTAGACAGTACAATGATTCTCTACACTATACTTGCTTGTTTTGTCACAAACTAAAATTAGGCAAACTATGCGAATTTTAGCAACCATGAAATGGTGGAGCGATTCTGCATAGTGCATATTTAACATACATACCTTTTTTAGGGCTGACACCAATTAGTCGACTGGTCTATTGTTTGGTCGATAGGCTGTTGGTCGACAAATATTTTTTTTTAGTCGAGCAGTAGCAAAATATATTTTTATTGCACTGCCAATTTGTGCACATTCATTGTTTCATAACTTCATTGTGTGAATGTTTTGCCTTGATTGTAAGTGTCTATCAATTCCCCATTACATATATTTATGTAATTCCCTTACTCTTATCCAGAGCGACTTACAAATTGGTGCATTCACCTTATGATAGCCAGTGGGACACCCACTTTACAATTCATTTCTGTATATTTTTCAATTTTTTTAATTTTTAGAGTATATTTGTAATTTTCATTTGTTTTTTATATATATAGCTCTTTTTTTCTTTTCTTTTTTGTGGGGGTGGGGGGGGGGGGGGGGGGGGGGGGGGGGTAGAAGGATGACTTTTATACTATCCCAGGTATTCCTTAAAGAGGTAGGGTTTCAAGTGTCTCCGGAAGGTGGTCAGTGACTCCGCTGTCCTGGCGTCGTGAGGGAGCTTGTTCCACCATTGGGGTGCCAGAGCAGCGAACAGTTTTGACTGGGCTGAGTGGGAACTGTGCTTCTGCAGAGGTAGGGGGCCAGCAAGCCAGAGGTGGAAGAATGCAATGCCCTCGTTTGGGTGTAGGGACTGATCAGAGCCTGAAGGTAAGAAGGTGCCGTTGCCCTCACAGCTCCGTAGGCAAGCACCATGGTCTTGTAGCAGATGCGAGCTTCAACTGGAAGCCAGTGGAGTGTGCGGAGGAGAGGGTGACGTGAGAGAACTTGGGAAGGTTGAACACCAGACGGGCTGCAGCGTTCTGGATGAGTTGTAGGGGTTTAATGGCACAGGCAGTGAGCCCAGCCAACAGCGAGTTGCAGTAATCCAGACGGGAGATGACAAGTGCCTGGATTAGGACCTGTGCCGCTTCCTGTGTAAGGTAGGGTCGTACTCTGCGAATGTTGTAGAGCATGAACCTACAGGATCGGGTCACCGCTTTGATGTTAGCGGAGAACGACAGGGTGTTGTCCAGGATCACGCCAAGGTTCTTTGCACTCTGGGAGGAGGACACAATGGAGTTGTCAACCGTGATGGTGAGATCATGGAGCGGGAAGTCCTTCCCCGGGAGGAAGAGCAGCTCCGTCTTGCCGAGGTTCAGCTTGAGGTGGTGATCCGACATCCACACTGATATGTCTGCCAGAGATGCGTTTCGCCACCTGGTTATCAGAAGAGGGAAATGAGAAGATTAATTGTGTGTCGTCTGCGTAGCAATGATAGGAGAGACCATGTGAGGATATGACAGAGCCAAGTGACTTGGTGTATAGAGAGAATAGGAGAGGACCTAGAACTGAGCCCTGGGGAACACCAGTGGTGAGAGCACGTGGTCCGGAGACAGATTCTCGCCATGCCACCTGGTAGGAGCAACCTGTCAGGTAGGGCGCAATCCAAGAGTGAGCCGCGCCGAAGATGCCCAACTCGGAGAGGGTGGAGAGGAGGATCTGATGGTTCACAGTATCAAAGGCAGCAGATAGGTCTAGAAGGATGAGCGCAGCGGAGAGAGAGTTAGCTTTAGCAGTGCAGAGAGCCTCCGTGACACAGAGAAGAGCAGTCTCAGTTGAATGACCAGTCTTGAAACCTGACTGGTTTGGATCAAAAAGGTCATTCTGAGAGAGATAGCAGGAGAGTTGGCTATAGATGGCACGCTCAAGAGTTTTGGAGAGAAAAGAAAGAAGGGATACTGGTCTGTAGTTGTTGACATCGGAGGGATCGAGTGTAGGTTTTTTGAGGAAGGTGCAACTCTCACTTTCTTGAAGATGGAAGGGACATAGCCAGTGGACAAGGATGAGTTGATGAGCGAGGTGAGGTAAGGGAGAAGGTCTCTGGAAATGGTCTGGAGAAGAGAGGGGATAGGGTCAAGTGGGCAGGTTGTTGGGTGGCCGGCCGTCACAAGTCGCAAGATTTCATCTGGAGGGAGAGAGGGGAGAAAGAAGTCAAAGCATAGCGTAGGGCAGTGTGAGCAGGACCAGCGGTGTCATTTGACTTAATAAATGAGGATCGGATATCGTCAACCTTCTTTTCAAAATGGTTGACAAAGTCATCCACA